AAAGTAATGTTCTGAAAGATTATTAGACTTGTCCTAGGTGTGAGAAAGTCATGTTACAACATGAATTTATATGAACATACAAAACACAAGAAATAAGATCTAAATTTTTAAAGTCATGCATATAATTAACATATATTCTAATCCTCATTTTTCAAAATCAATTTATGTGATCACAGTGAATCAAAATAAAAAAAAAATTGCCTAAATTTTGAAGTACCAAATCCTAGGAATTAACTATAAATGCCTATAAAATTGTTGGGTGTTGCTCATATGACTTATTTGTTATTTTCAAATTAATCAAGGACAAATATGTTTTTTTTCATTTTAATTGCATAATGAGATGACCAAAATACAATTGAAAGAAAAAAAATTAAATCTAGAGCTAAGGGGTATTTTTGTATCTTCATAATGTTTTTGGTTTTTCTAATGTTAGTTAGGGGCAATTTGATATTTGATTAAATATAAACAAATAATGCATAATTAAAATATAGAGTAAAAAAAATAAAAAAAACCCTTAAAAAAAACCTTGGAGTTAAAAGGCTTTTAGGTCTTTTCAAATTGTTTTTTTTAACTTATAAAGTTATCCTAAAAAAAATTTTATATTTGACTAAATAAAAAAATAAAAAGATAGTTACGTGAAAGATATTTATACACTTTGAGCGGTGTATGCAACACCGCTCGGAGTTCAAAAATACCTTTCTGCCATGTCATTAAAAGTGCCACCATGTTATCTTTTCTTTAATGCGGTGTGTGTTTCTAATGGTAATTTGGTTTATTGTTGGAAGATATTCATACACTTCGAGCGGTGTATGCAACACCGCTCGGAGTTTAAAAATACCTTTCTGCCATGTCATTAAAAATGCCATCATGTTATCTTTTCTTTAATGTGGTGTATGTTTCTAATGGTAATTTGGTTTATTGTTGGTGGGTTTTTTTTTTTTCTCTCTTATATCTTGAAAATTACAGTTTTTTCCACTTTGTTGTTAATATTTCAACTTTAGTCTCTGGTCTTTATTTTTTTGACTTATAATATTTTATCTTGGTTTTTTGTATAAATTTTATTTGTTTTTAATTTCATTATTCAATCTCAAGTCATCAAATATTATATCTTTCAATTTAGTTTTCATTATTTTGATTTTTACTTTTTTTTCTTAGTCTTTTTGTAAAAAAATTTATTTTTTTTAAATTTTATCATTCAATTCAAACTGATGGTATTATGTTTTATAAAGTGATGTTTATTGTTTTTATTTATAATTTATTTCTTGATCTTTTTATATTTTTTTTTCAATCCCACCGTTTAGTCAAGATGTTGCTTTTATTTTTATATTAATCTTGATTTTCATTCTTTTGAATTTTTGGAGTCCTTTTACTAAATAGATTTTTTTTTTCAATTTTACCCTTCAATCAAATATCAATTTTTTAATTGCTATTTTTAAAATATTTTTGTATAATTAAAATTATTTTTTTAATTTCATTATTTAATATTGATTGATTGAGAATAAGATTTTATATTTTTTTTAAAATAGTATGCATAGGATCTAATGATTCTAGTCATGAATTTAAAAAATTAATATAATTTTTTTTTAAGGTTTTATATTTCTTTTTATTTTTTATTAGATTATTCTGATTTCATGATTAATTTAGTGAGATAATCCAAGTTTGCTGACCTGATTAATATGAGTACACATTTATTATGCTAATTTAAATTGACAATGACCAATTTTTTTATTTCACTTTTTATTCTGATTTTATTTTTATGTTTTTAATGAATTGTAAATCAATATACATTATTTTTTTTTTCTATTATCCTAATCATTTTTTAAATTTTTTTTATCTATTTATCATCATTTTTTAATCTAAATTAAATAAAATTAATTTATTCTACTCAAGTTAATGATTTAAATCACACATTTTTCTTTTTAAAAAAAGTATTTACAGCGACATAACATCATTTATAAATTGTTTAGTACTGGAAATGCGAGTTTCATGTTTTCAATGTTTTTTTTTTAAAAGTAATTAAAGAAATTCACAGAAAAAAAAAATCAAGTAAAACCATGCGGCAGGTTAGAGATTTTTTTATTTTTTTTGTGACCCTAACAGATATCATGTACTTTGAAAACAAAGGATAAATTAAAATATATACTAGTTATTTAATTCGTATTTTTCAGCAAGTTAGATAAATTTTCCACCTAACTCAAAAATAAATATAATGGTATTTCATGCATGTTTGTTGACATGAAAAAGCTCAATCATCACTTTAAAAATTTATATATACATTTAATTAAATAAATTAAAAATTATTTGTGAAACAAAAAAATATAGCAAGCCCAATTCTTAACCAACCGAAGCTAATTAACAAAACTTATGACCTGGATCGTGGATTCAGTCGGGTTCAATATTTTTTTAATAGTTTTTTATTTAACTATATGAAAACAATTGATGCTTGTAAAATTGAGAATCAATAAAATATCAAAATATTTATTTGGGATTGCAATAAACCTACAAATATCAAACCAAAACAAATTACATTGCCAAAATACAATATAAAAATATTAAATAATAAAATATAAAATATAAAATATAAAATCAAGTAAGTAAAATCAATAAGATTCAATTATGAATGATTAAATTGAAAAAAAAACAAAAAAAATAATAAGCTTAGGTGTGCGAGCTTATGCTCACCCACGTGCCTGATTTTGATTATTATTTTATTTTTATGGGACAAACACCTTTATTTTTTGAAAAAAAAAAAAGTTTGTTTGCTTTATCTAGATTCTAATAACCTTTAATTGCTAAAAAGTTAAGCTTACATTAGAATCAATTTCAAATATTTTTAATAGAACAAATCTAAACAATACTCTAGAGACGTAAGGGAACTTGTTTATCCTTTTAGTAACCCAAAAATAGTAAATTTAAAAACCTTTTAAGGTTAGATATATTTTTTTGAGAAAATTTTAAGATGAATCCTTTTGATTTGCCAAAAAAAAAATACAAAATTGAATCTTATGACCGACAAAGGAGTTACAAAGTTGCCAAAATAATGACAGAAGAGCGATAGCTTTGGGTTGGTCATGTTATGAACATAAAGAAATTGAACTTCACTTAATGAATTTGTTTAAAAGATCAAATTTTAATGTATGTGATTTTAATTTTTAATTATTTAAAAAAAGTAAGTTGAAATTCAAATTTTTTTATTTGGTTTAATTTTTTATTCTTAAATCATTATAAGATGTTTTGGGATTGAAAATAAAACTATTAAGGTTTCTACAATAGTTATTAAATATTTATATAGAAAAATATGTTGATGTTTGGATTTTAATAGCTATTTGTTTTTTGATTGCTTATGTGTTTGAAGCTAATCACAAAAAACAAATATTTATTGACCGTTGAAAACTTAATTCATGTATATAGGTTCAATAATTTTTGTGTTCAGTCACTAAAAGCAGCATAATGCTACTTTCAATAAAGAGAGCTCCACTACTTATTTAAAAGTAAACAGTAGAGACATGTATCACTATTCACATAAATAGTGTACATGATTCTTGTTCGACCGATTTCGATCTAAAACTAAATACATTGAATCAGATTTGATTAGGGGAAAAAATTAATTTAATTTTTTATTTTTAATTATGTTTTATTGATGACATAGTATTTATAAAATTTGATTGTAACCTCAATTTTGTTTTTAATTATATTTTATTTGATGTTCCTGCGCACTTAAAAAACTAAGAAAACTATAGTTTTTGTTGGATATATTTCATACTTAATGAAATTGTAGATAGTTTAATTAAAGAATAAAAAATATTTTATATAAAATACTTTTTATTTCATAATATAATTTAAATGATTAAATCTACAATATTTAAATTTAAAACCATCAATAGTAATATATATATATATATATATATATATATATATTTATATATTTTAATTATTTTATAACTTTAATTTGAAAAGTAATTTTTTTAACTAAACACATTATATTATTTTTTATTTAACTTCAAATTCAACTACAGTTTTACCAAATATATATAAATACTAAATTAATCTTAACTAAAAATATTTTTAATATAATATTTTTTTTAAATCATAACTATAAAAGTTACCGAATAAATATGAATCCCAATTTTATTCCAATAAATAATATATTACCCATTCAATTTTTTTTTAAAAGAACTAAGGAGACAACTTGTCCTGAAAAAAGGCAAAGGCCTGGCCTTTTAGGTCTAGGCACATCTAAACTTTATTTTTTAGGCTAAGCAAGCTGGGCACCTACCGGGTTTTGTTTTTTTTTTTTTTTAAGAATGAAACTGTTTTTTAAATAAAACTATTAAAAAAATACAAAAAAATCTAATTACACCTTTGTTTTTTTTATTTAAGTTTAGATATTTTGATGGTAATATTTTCAGATAATTAAGATTAGATATTTTGATGGTAATATTTTCAGATGTAATTAATTATTTTTTTCATAGAGTTGTTTAAATTTTATCGAGTTAAATGTTTTTATTTTTTATTTAAAATTTGTTTTCCAGACAATGATAGAAAGTATTTTTTTCAAAAAATATATGAATAAAAAAATGAAGTTTTAATTACACAGAAATTTTTCCCTCTTTAATTAGAATTATGAAAATTTCTTATGAAAATTTATTTTAATTACTTCTATATTTTATCTAAAAAATCATGCTACTAATATAAAAAATAAATATTTTGTTAAAAATAATATTTGAATATGAAAAAATAATTTTAGTTAAGAAAATATATTTCTTAATCAAATTCAAATTGATTTGAAAAACAACTTTAAACTAAAGAGTTTAAAATTTTTATATTTATGTGTAAAAATTAAAAAATTATGAAAGACAAATGAAAACTACCTCAGCCAAATATGCATAAAAAGAAGAAGAAAGAGAGAGGGGTGTGTTTGGATAGACAACATTGTGTTTGCCCAGGCCCAGGTATGGTGAAAACGGAATTCGATGTTTTTATGATTTCCCCAAACAGAAACAATAACAGAGGAAAACTTTCTTCTTTTTCCTTTTATTTTTATTAACCTGCAGAAGCAACAGAGAATTGTGAAAATCAACAGAACAACAAGAACCATAAAACTGCCTGCCTCTCTCCCTCTCTCTGCAAAACAAAAACAAGGGGAAGTTTCTCTTGAAGGTAAATTTCGAAGCCCTAATTCATTTCCTTTTTCTGTTTTAATTAAATCTTTGCTTGATCGAAACTTCCTTCTCTTTGCTTCTTCATTTGTCATGTTCAATAACTGATGGAATTTGATTTTTTTTTAAAACTGTGTGCGTTTTGTCTGGAGCCAAACGGAGAATTATGCTATTTTCTCGGTTTGAACGAGGGGATTGGTAATTACTGTGAAGCTTTTGGTTTCTTTTCATCACGAAGGCTCTGATTTTTTCTTGGTGTTTAGGCGAGTTTAGTGAGTTCATATTTTGAGAATATGAGTTAATTGAGAGTTCAATTTGAGGAAGTTTGAGTGAAATGGTTAATTGGATTGATGAGGTACACGAGTTCAATGTGAAGAAATACCGACAAGCAAAGTGAGACAGAGGCTATTCATTATTAGTTCTATATTACAGAGTTTTACTCCATTAGCTCTTTACATGGTGTGTAACCATGTCAGCAAGGTGGATGCAGCAGGGGTGGTGTTTTATGGTTTGCTTATAGTCATTTAAGCTAATATGAGGGGAAATCGTGTAAATTAATGGTTAGACTTTAGTATCTGTTTAGATTGAAAAGCACCATGTTATGTTTCTAAGTTATGCACCATGAACATTTTGAGGACAGTGATTTGTCAGCTTCTCTCATCTGCATATCATCCAGTACTTTAATGGCTTGAGAAAATCTCTGATCAGCTACTTTCTCATCAGCATAATTTATGTATTATCTCAATATAAGCATGTGTTATTTGAGAATCCTGTTATACGATAGCATTAATTCTTCATTGTATGTATTGCTTATGCAAGTGAATGAATATTATGTGTGGTAATCTTCTTTTCATAATGTGAATGTGTGGAAAATATTTGGCAAAATTTCTCTGGTATGGTATACTTTCTTTCATTCAATGGTTGAGTTAGAACTGCTTTCCTGCAATTCGAGCTCTGAATCTTCCCCTTTGGTTGGGAGAGAAGTACCAGTTGTGCTGAAGGTCCAGTGGTTTCCTATGCAATTAGTTCATTACTAAGCTTGAAGTAAGAACTTCAAAAAATGCTGGTTTAGCCACATTTTGCTCATGCAAATGAAAAGACAAAGCTACTATATAATTATTTTCAGTGGGGAGGATTGCTTTGATAATTATACTTGAATAGCTTAGTTAATAGCTATCGGACCTGCTATAGTGTGATCTTGTCTTGTATATTCAAATCATTGTTTTCTTAAGCAACAATAATTTTAAGGAAGAAACTCTCAAATATTTGTCCTTATCTTGTTCTATCTTCTAATGCTTCATATCATCAGTGCTGTATTGTTCATCCATCCAAGTTGCATGGTTGATTTGAAGTTGTCAATCACACGCACACACACACACAATAGCTTTGCTAATAGCTATCAGACCTATTATAGTGTGATCTTGTCTTGTACATTCAAATCATTCTTTTCTTAAGCAACAATAACTTTAAGGAAAAAACTCTCAAATATTTGTCCTTATCTTTTTCTTTCTTACAATGCTTCATATCATCTATGCTGTATTGTTCATCCAAGCTGTATTGTTGTTTTAAAGTTGTCAATCTCACACACACACACAAATAAATAAATAAATAAATAAAATCTTTCAGCCTTAATTGACTAATTGGAATGTCTTATGCTCGACCAGCATCATAATGCTCTTGCATCCTCTTGACCTTGGATCTATTTTTGGGTGTTATCTGTGCTTCCAGATTTGAGCTTAGGGACTGTGGACATAACAGCCTCATGACTTCTTCCGTGCATGATCTTTCTGGTAATTTTTTCAAAACGTTTTTGCAGATTTGTTACCTTGGAGTCACTACTTAGCTATACAATGCTTTCTCTATAAATGGATGGAATGTAAAATTTATTCATGTTTCTATCATTTGCCAGTTTGGATATTTTGTACTATTATGTTTTGACCTTGAACATAGGTTATTAGGGTTCATGTTTCTTTTATTTTGTTGAACTTGCCTCGACAATACTTTGCTCCAATGGGCAGAATCCTATTTGAGATTTCTGGCTGCATTGCTTGAATCCTCTTGATACTACTTAAATAATAGTAATAATAAAAGAGCAGGAAAGATGATAAACATTCCCATATATCATGGGAATACTATGCATATCAAATTTGGTGAGAAACCTACATTCCTGTACGGAGGGGATCTTGTAATTGTGAAAAAAAAACATCTGAGATATTTGTTTACTCTTGGGTGTTTATCGGTAACAAGGAATTGAATGATGAGAATGAGAATGAAAGTTTTATTCATACTTTGCATATGCTTTGTTGAAAGGAATGAAGTGGGAATGATAATGAAAATTAAATATGGTTTCATTCCCTTGGAGAGAGGTGAGAATAAAAACAAGGAATGAGATTTTTTTTTTTTTGAAAGAATACTTGTTATTTGTATTCAATGCATATAATCTATTTCTATCACCATTACCACCTCCACCACTACCACCACTGCCACTTTTGCCACTTCCTGTTGTGTTGACAGTTTTTTAAATTACATTATTATTGTTGTTGTTCCACCATAAACACCTCTTTTCTTCCACCGCCACCTCCCATGGTGGTGGCATTGATTATTTTTTTTTGAATTTATTGTTGTTACTATACTATTGTAACTATCTCCACTTCGTCCTTCTCCTCCATCACCACCACCACCACAATTACTTCCATTATTTTTACTACAACCATTGTTGATGAAATATTTTTTAATCATTATCCCTTTCCATCTTACAAACCAGATATTAAAACTTTCATTATGATATTATTGTTTTTACTATACTAATGTTACTATCACCACCTCTTCCTCCTCCTCCTCCTCCTCCTCCACCACCACCACCACCACAATTACTTTTATTATTTTTACTACAACCACTGTTGATGAAATCAATTTTTTAATCATTACTTCTTTTCATCTTACAAACAAGATATTAAAACTTTCATTACGATTCCTTGTTACGATTTGAAATGCAATATTGAAATTTATTATGACTCCTTATTTGCATTCTGATTCCTCCATCCCAGTTCTAGACCTTTTATTCTTGGTAACCAAACAGCACCGCGCCCTATGATTTCCTTGGGATTATTTGACAGGGTACATTAATTTTAGTTGTCATACATATAGATGGCAAAATCAGAGTGTCTTTGCTTATAATGTTTGACTTGTATGATCAATTTTATAGCGCTTGCTCAAACTATGGCTCTTTTCGTATGTTAGCCATCCTTTTTTGAAGCTTGTTGTGGTTGAGCAATCATCTTTTATTTGAAAATTCCATGCTTTTGATGATTAACTATGATAATAATATTATTTTCAAAAGCTGCTTTCCAGATAATAGTGAAGCTGGTGAGCAAAAACACTCAGAACCCCAGGTACAGACTTCTTCTCCTGCAAATGCACTGGCACACCCTGGCATCTCACCTCCAAATTTTCAGTGTGCAACTCCACAGCTTGGAGCAGGACATGCTATGGTATTTTCTACAGAACAAATATTGTTAATAACTGGTGTGTTTTTGTGAAGGGATATGTAATTTTACCAAGAGTGGCTTTTTGGTATATACCAAGAGTTTTTTTGTTTCCTACTTTGGACAAGTTTTTGCCACTGCCTTTTCGATGTCTGTGTGCTTATAGCTATTTCTCTGTTATGGTATTTTTAGTTTACTTTTGAAAATGGTTTGACAGCTAGAATTTCTTTCAACATATGCCTCTATTTCTCTTTGAATTGAGATTTTTTCTGCTCTATCATTAAGATTTTTAGGCAACTTTATTCAGCATGGATTGATCATGATTTTTCACTGAAGATGATCATGCTTCCTCCTTGTTTTACAGATAAAATGAATAATCATGGCTGTGGAAGTTTGTTGAATTTCAGCTTCCTCCTTGTTTTACAGATAAAATGAATAGAATAACCTATTGAATGAAGCAGGTCATTTCTACTTTGTCTTGCATTCCATTTTTAAGAACAGTTTTCATTTTCCATGCCATGACTTTTGATCTTTCTTTAAACTTACATTGAAAAATCAGAACTCTCCCATTTCTGTGCTAAAAACTTGACCCAATACTTGTTTCCACCAAATAAGAACTAGGCGGTTTGACATACTAAATTTTGTCTTTTATCATTTTTGTTCCTTTTGACTTGAAGGCACCGGCAGCTTACCCATATCCAGATCCTTATTATAGAAGCATCTTTGCTCCATATGATGCTCAGCCATATGCTCCACAGCCCTATGGTGCACAACCGATGGTAATTTTTTTTTAATGCTGTATGCCAGGTTGTTTAGGAAACATGGCTGTTCTTGTGATTTTTTGATTTGAGACTGCATTTAGTTTAGGCCAAATTTTAAGAAACTTGACCTTCAGCAAATTTTTAAGTGCCTAAAAAATCCCAAATTTTTACCAACTATGAATCTACTTCATTGTGGCTGATCCATTGGCAAATTGTAATGTTTTGTTGATTTTGACCTTATTTAACCAACAATGCATGCTCTTTCTTCAATTTTCCAAAATCAACTTCATTCTCATTCCCATAAAAAAATCTGAGAGATATCAAAGATTGAAGCTTTTCATTTGGGTTTTCCAAGGATAGTTGCTGTAGTTTTTATTGGGTCAAGTTTTGATTTTGGTCCTGTGGATTTTGTTGTTTGGGGTCTTGGGTTTGATGGGCCACTTTCTTTTCAGCCATTTTCAGCAGCGGCGAAGGGGTTTGAGAAAAATTTGAAGTGGAGAAATGAGATTGAAGAGATGAACTTAGAGCCAAAGAAATGCAGGCAGACCCACCATGTGTTGTGGGCAATTATGGTTGTAGGTGTTGGCGAGTGCAATGATGGTGAGTTTTGGGTAGAGAATTATTTTGGAGCTAATCTATAAAGAATGGATGAGAGATGGCCAATAGAGAGGGAAGAGAAACGAAAGGAGTTGGTTCACTTAGGGTTTAAATAGGGTAATTGGTGTTTTATGTGGAACCCTTTAATGGTCAAAATCAAATGGATGGAGGGGATACATTGTAATGGAGTACTATTTCAGGGTTGAATATCTGGGGTTTTATGTTTATTGAGGTCTTTAAAGATTCACTGAAAGCGTCTACTATGTCGTTTATGAGCAAACATTTTTTTTAAGTAACTCTTTAGCATCTATTTCGTTTATGAGGAAACATTTTCTGTTTTTTTTTTTTTTTTTTTTTTTGGTGGCTACAAGTAACTCTTGAACATATTATCTGATCAGGTCCATCTTCAATTGATGGGAATTCAGCAAGCTGGAGTTCCTTTGCCATCTGATGCTGTTGAGGAACCTGTGTTTGTTAATGCAAAACAGTATCATGGTATCTTGAGACGACGGCAATCTCGTGCAAAAGCTGAATTAGAGAACAAAGCAATCAAGTCTCGGAAGGTACATTGTTGGTTGTCTGAAGCCAATCTCATTCTACTTGCATTTGATATTGTGTTTTGTTCACCTAATATATTAGAATCTAAATAAAGAAGGCTTACATGAATCTCTTGCTGTTATTGTTTCACAAGCGCTCCTCCTATATATTTTTTCAGACATTTTACTTTAGGTCAAGCATGTCCAGGTCACTGGTATAATTTTCAAAGACTGTCTGGATTTAAGCTCAGAGTCATATGAAACTTGAAGAACCTAGGTTTTCTGATTTCATTGGAAATATTCTGGAGTATCTTGAATGCTCCGATGCCATATAAATGCCACTCTATGATTACTTGATTGGATGTCTTACAGCCATGTGGGTATACATGCTAAGTTTTAGGCTATTATCCTCTTTGTTTACTACCATGTTACACCTGAGTCTTTGTTTCATGACAAGTCAAAAGTAATCTTGCAGCCATACTTGCATGAATCTCGACATCAGCATGCACTAAAAAGAGCTAGAGGATGTGGGGGTCGGTTTCTCAATTCGAAGAAAAAAGAGAATCAACAACAGAATGACATGGCCCCAGGTGACAAACCGCAATCTAATATCAATCTTAATGCCAATAAAAATGATATTGCTTCCTTGGATGACAAGTCTTGATACAGTGGAAGCGATGGTGTTGCGTGCGATTAGCTCAGAAAACAGTTATTCGTAGAATGGGGATTCAGGAAACCCATAGCCCTATAGTGCCAGTATTTCTTTATTGTGGCTCTACCTACGAGTCATCAGTATGTATAGCGTTTTCCAGTAGTTGGTTTGTAGGATGTTGCAAAGATGAAGTAGACTGTAATTAAGAGGTGTTCATCATTATCTTTGCTCCAGTGGATTTTTTCCAGTTGCTGCGCTTTCTTCATGAGGAGAATGATGGTTAAGTTTGCTTGCTTTTATGAAGCGGTGAGGCTTAAGACTTCTCTGCACAAAATTGGAGTGATGTTAATTAGCTGGGTGGGTTATGTTTCATTAGCTTAGTGAAAATCTTGATTTGCTGTTTCTATGCACAATCAGAGCCCTTTCATTACTTGTTATTTTTCGACTTATCGAATAAGATGGATGGTTTGACAGATATTGGTGTGGATTATCTTCTTTCTTTTACTTTTCTGTGGTGAGAGGATGATGGTAGAAGTGCATGTTTTAACCAGGAAAGAATGGATTGAAGGAGGGGGTGTGGGGTGGGAGCTGCTCGAGCCTCTCTGCCTGGCGAGGATGAAAGCGATGCTGCGTTCATGCCTTGCACCATGCTTTCCGTGAACTTCAATTATCTTCTTTTCAGTATATCATGATCGAACTTGAGTCTAAAATTATGGGTGACTTTGAGCGTTGATTGTCGAAAATTTGCAACCTTTTGGAGTGCGACCTCGAGACCGAAAGTGTGCTGCGCTGAGTCTCGGTTTGTGTATGCTTTGATTAGTTTGCAAAGTGCAACGGAGTTTGTTTATCACAGCGCAGCAGTGAGGTGACTTGCTTGTATGGACGATGTTTGTTATATTGGGCTTTTGTTTTTAAGTTTGAAAACAACTTTTAAAAAATAGAAAATTAAGAGAGTATTTGAGAATGTAATTTATTAAAAAAATTTGATTTTAGATAATTTAATGTGTGGATATTAAAAATAATTTTATTTTAATATATTTTTAAATAAAAAGTATCTTAAATTATAATTATCATAGTTTTAAGACCCGGTTTGGTGGCCGATCGGGTCTAAGGTTCGGGTCCCGGGTTGGGACTGGGTTACTGGGTTGGTTGGGTCAAATTTTATTTATTTTTAAATTAAAATGAAGTTGTTTTAATAAAAAAAATAAAAAAACAGAAGTTAATTGATTTGCAATTGGTTCTTAACCAGGTCTTGTTGGGTTAGCTGGATTACATCGAGTTTTTTTTTTTTTTTTTCAACCTGGTTCAGTTTCAACTTTAAATCGGCTGGGTTCTAGATCAACTTGTCGGGCGGACGGGTTTAAAATTATGATAATTATTCATTAATCTCAAAAATGATTTAAGACAGGATTTTGTTTTTAAATAGCAAAGTCTGAAAAGAAATTTGCAAAGTTGCAGGATTGGGAATTTTTTGACAAAGAGTACATTTTTGGTGGTTTAGCTACTTTTAGGAGCACAATCTATTTTAAAAAATAGTAATTAAGAGGTCTTTGAATTTTGTTTACTCATTCCTCAGCATTTAATGGACTGCACTGATGGACTCAGTACAACCCGTTAATTTGTTTTTTTTCAAGTGCTGTGTTGATCGGATCGGTGTCACGCTTTTATTTTTTTGGTTAGGATATTAATTTTTATTTTATTACTTGCATTTAATCTTGGATGAGATGACTTTTTTCTAATCTGACAATATTTTTTATATGTTTTTTAACATAAAAAATCTTAATCAATAAAATTGTCTGATGTATTCGTGTAATTAAATAATAACTAAAAACAATTATAAAATTTAATTTTTAATTAATTAAACTTAACCAGTTAAATTTAAAATTCGGTTATAAATTTAAATAAATCAAGTATTTTTTAATTTAAAATTAACATTTATAAAATATTGAGATAATAAAATAAAAATATCTAATTGAAACAAATTATGTTATTTAATTAATAATAAATAAAATTAACAAAAATTAAGCAAAAGAAGAATTCTAATTTTGATGAGTAATTTGAACAAAAAAAAGAAGAAAAAAGGCCTGAGCATCTTATCCTAGTTAGTCCAAAATGCATGGGTCTCAAGAAAAATGCTCAAGCATGCCGGTCTAGTTGGCCTAGAGCATATGGATCTCAAGAAAAAGGTTCGGACATGTGGGTCTAGAGCAGTCCACAAGCCTGAGCTTTAATTTTTTTTTTTAATTTTTTTAAGTGGTTGCATTTTCAAAATAAAATAGTAAGTGACACGTCGCTTGCTCAACCCAGATTTCGGCAACCCCTAGTTATTAAAAAATCAAGTTTTGATGTTTTAGATAAAAAAAAATTTATTTTTAATAAAAAAACTATAAACACCTTATAAAATAACATATTGATGACTCCAAACAACCCAAAAAAGTATATAAAAATTCATAATTAACCAAAAATCAAAGTTGTTTACGGGCTCAAATCTACCATATAAGACAAGTTAAAAAGAAAAAGAACATCTAAGACAGACTTTTCCCAACGAAAGAAACACATTAACATGAAAATTATCTTTTTTGTGGCTTTAATTTGTGTAAATGATGGTTTTTTTTTAATTGTTGGAATCGGTCATTTTCCTTCTCTCTCAAACTAGAGAAAAAAAGAAGTAAAATGAAGTTTGAAACTAAAATTGACTTTAATCTTACTTTTGAAAATTAAAAAAACCATATAATTATAATTATGAAAGTTAGAGGATTAAAATGTATATTTCACATAAACCTTATTAAAGTCATTTATTCTCCATGTTGTTTTCACTTGATCCCCTCTTTTTAAATCTCACTATCTCTTAACAAATCAACCCAAAATGGTCTCCAATTTAACAATTTAAGGGAGAAATTAAACAAAAAATACAATAAAAAAATCACCATGAAAATCCACAGTCAATCAACTAAGATTGCGTGGGGAACAGTAATATGCCCACTCGTTTGAGTTTTTACCTGTACTAGCTTGGAACCAAACAAAGACATGATTATGGTCAAAATGGCTCCCTGGTGTGTCCAATCCATTCTTTGCATGAATCAGACGATCCCTTCCCCCTTGTCAGCCGGAAGGAAGGAAGCATGCGGGTCCAAAACTATCAAAAGAAGTTTGAATTCTGCTAAGATTCGAGTTCATTGCTCAGCTAATACTTGCTCAAACATGTTCCATCCATTTGACATTTCCAGTCAACAATTATACATTTTAAGAATCTTTACGGAAAACCAAACCCTCTTCTCTCCCCTCCAAATAATAATAATAATTCAAAAAGTAACCATCTAGGTGGTGGCCAAGTGATAAGTACTTATGATTAAAGGGTTTGCTTCCTTTATGGTCTCAGATTCGAGTCCTTGGTTGCTCATATGATGGTCACTGGAGGCTTACATGGTCGTTAACTTCAGGGCCCGTGGGATTAGTCATGGTGCGCGCAAGCTAGCCCGGACACCCACGTTAATAAAAAAAAAAATTCAAAAAGTATTTGTATTAATATGATAAAAAAAATTCAACCTTTACCTTACTTTGTTTTCATAAATTAATCCCTAAAATGTTGTAGTACACATTACATTATTTATATGATAAAAATAAATGTATTTATAAATTTTTATGAACAATAAACATTCATTAAATTTTTTCTCGTGAATTATGAATAATTTATAAACTATAAATATTTATCATAATTTAATAAACATTCATGAATCATGTGTAATTAATATTTTGGTTCTCAAGTACTATAAATAAGTTCCTTGAAAAAGTGAAATTGAATTAAAAAATTTCTTGAGTTCTTTTCCTCCCATTATAGTTGATTTTTATTAATCTTATTCTTCTATTTATTTTTTCAACTTTATAGCTTAGGTTCAACTTTTATTGAGAGATATTAAATATAATTTCCTTTGAGTTCATTTAATCTTGTTTTGGAGTGCTTTAATAAGGAGTTGTTGGAATTTTAGATGGTTTATTAAAGTTAATCTTTTTGTACTAAGATATAAAACTTTAAGGACAAGATATTAATTATTTATAACAATAAAATTTTTAGAATGAATATATCTTAAGAACTTCAACAAGTAAATGCTTTAAGTTTAAATATAAAACTTTATACTTGTTTAATATGCATATTAGAATTGTATTTTAACTTTTTATACAAGCTACAAAGGTTTTTTTTTTTGTTATATATATATATATATATATATAAAGCATTATTAAGCTTGCTAACCATTGTATGATTGCAAGTTTACTATGTTTTTATTATTTTTATAATCATAAACTAAATAAATAGGCCAACTTGTTTAATCATCTAATCATTTTATAAAAATAATTATACATGGATATAAGGATATAAGGTACCAAATCAATAGAATACAAAGACAAATTTGAGCTTAACTCTTTAAGTTTTGATATGCTTAAGTTTTGGCTTAGGATTATATCTCGTTGGAAGACTTGTTGAAGTTGCTTAATTATTTTATTATAAGGTTCACTTTCACTTAATTTGTAATATTATATAATAATTGGAATATGTTAGGTTAAATATAACAAAATGCGAAAAAAAACACTAAATATAAAACCTCTTTATTTCACATCATGATAAGTTTGTTGATATATGTATTTCGATTAAAGAATATTAAATAATTAACAAATATAATAATATAATAAAGAAATCATTTAAAATTTTATTTTATTTAATTAGAATTACTTTCCCTCCCTAGTATTCTTTAATTTTATCAAAAAAACACATTTACATCTGCATTGTTCTTGGAAAGGTTATTAAAGAACTTCTCTTGAGTTTTCACTAAATCACTTTTTTGAGATTTAGCACTTCAATCCTGTTTTTGGGTCTTACCTTGGAGAAAATTCTTCAAATCATCTATCAATTTTTTGGCTTTATCACTTTCTTTTGTCTTAGTATTGGAAGAGCTGTCACTTTTACCTTTGAATTAATTTTTTTTTTAATTTTATCAATTTAATATTGAAATGATTTGAAATTGAATTTAAATATTTCTTTGATTTTTTTATTGAATTATTCTAGTTTCATGATACAAATTATAATTTTGACAAGTTAACTTGAGTTTACTTAGGATATGTGAACTTGTTTATAATGGAGCATTTTGAGTTTTTTTTGTTCTAAAACTCTAGTTTTTTGTTGAGAAAGAAGGCATAGCCTAGATTTAACAAATTATAATTTGGAATCTAACTTTTCTAAAATGAAAGAGTTTTAAATATATATTAATGTTTATGAGAATTTTATACTACCAATATTTTCTTCACTTTCAAACATATGCCTAATATTAGTTTCATTTTAACATTATTCAAGGGTAATGACTTTTTTATTGGATCTAAGTTTTTTTGTGTTCTACTTCTAACCATTCTTGTTCATTAAATCCAAGATACTAAGTGTAAATTAGTGGTCAATATTTTTTTTTCTATATGAGATACTTGTTGATTACCATATTTT